TTTGCAGAGGTAGTTCAAGTTACTAATCACGGACTTCAACATAGGGAAATTATTCTAGATTATATGGAAGTGCCACAGTAATAGCATGAATGATTTAAAGGCAGAAGAGTAAGACAGGAGAGTACAGAAAGAGATTCATTGACTGCACAAAATGCAGTCAATGTACCACTGCTGGCTTTAAAATAGAACAAGCCATAAGTCAATGAATGCAGGGAGTCTCTAGGAACAAAGGGTGACCCTTCAGCCAACTACCAGCAGCAACATGGGACATCAGTCCTACAACTGCACTGAAGTCTACCAACAGAGAATGAGCCAGAAAACCGCTAAGTAAGAGCCCAAGTGACTGACATTTTGATTTTGTTTTTAATTCACTTTTTTGTGTTATAATAATACTTTGTTTATAGATGGCTTCATTTTTATTTCATTTGACTTCAGTGTTGTGAGATCCTCAGTTAAGAACATGAATAATGCTGCCCAGTTACCATGGAAAACTAATACAGTAGTCAAGAAGAGATGCTAGATAGACATTTAGATGAGTCTGGAGTTCATAAAGAAGTCAAAGTTAGAGATTCAAATCTAGTGTCAAATGAATAGTGCTTAAAAGCTAGATGTGCTATCCCAAGGGAAAAAGTATAGAAAGAGTTTCTTCTTAGGAAGAAGTAAGCAGAGACTGAGAAAGATACGACCAATTAACCACCAGAAAACTGGAATTGGCACTGTGGCTAAAATGCTAGCTTTGAACAAAAAGAGGTGAGGAATGGGTCCAGGCCCTGAATTCAAGGCCAGTAACTGACAAAAAGAAAAATCCTTACAGCAATTCTTTTGCATGTTCTTTATATTTTTAAATCTCTGGTTGAGAAGGACAAGATTCCCTTCCAAGCATGTATGCATATGCATTTACTACACTTAAATCACATACACACACATGCACACATACCAGAGTATAGGTATATATACAGCATTTCAGTTATAAACTGTTGCAAGTAGTCTGTTTTTCCTTCTTATAGTGGGATTTAAAGTTCATTAGCTCTAGAAAGAAAATTCAGGCTTTAAAATTTTGACTGTAAAGAAAAAAAATCAGAAACAGCTTAACGATCCTTGGAGAAATTCAAAGCTTTTTCTAACATCTGAGGTAGTACCTGAGTCCCCTCTGGTAAGGCATCCTTCCCTGCTTTACCCATAACAGAAACCAAGGTGCTCCTTGGAAACAAACTCTAAAGCCTTAACAAGTTTTGTTGGGTTGTTGTTTATTATTTCATTTATATCCTATTTTTTATTTTTACAAAATAATGTTAATATGGCATTTTAATGCACACATATAATATACTTTGCTCATAAGTGTGCCCCTCCCGTTATCCAGGCTAATCTCAAACTCAAGGGTTCAAGTGCTTGCCCTGCCTCCAGTCCACAGTAGCTAGAACTGTAGGCAGGCATCTATTGCATCTAGCTTTATGAAGTTTTGGAAATGCCTAAGTGAGCTGCTATACAGCATGCATCTATACAAACAAATTCTCCACTCTTGTTTTATTGAGAGAAACTGAAAAACCATGATGGATGGCCTACAACTTGCTATGTAGCTAGGTCTGTCCTCAAATTCCCAATCTTCCTGCCTCATTTTTTTTTATTATGTATTTCCTTTTTTCCCATTCTGGGGTTTGAATTCAGGACCTGGACAGTTTTGAGCTTCTTTTGCTCAAGGCTAACACTCTACCACTTGAGCCAAAACCCCACTTCTAGCTTTTTGGGATAGTGTATTAGAGATAAGAGTCTTATGGACTTTCCTGACAGGTCTGGCTTTGAACCATAATCCTCAGATCTCAGAATCCTGAGGGATTACAGACATGTGCCACCAGTGCCTTCCAAGTACTGAGATTACAGGCATGCTTCATTATTCTAGTTCCTTAACCAGTGTCTTCCTGACTACCCCAGAGGTATAGCGAAGATGGATTAAGTTTTGCAAAGTTATTTAGAATACATTAAAGAAAATGTGCCATATTAACATCATTATATAAAATCACTGTAATTTTAAAATAAGGTGTACATCTCAATGATACCAGGCTTCTTAAAATAAAGAAGCCTGTTTTAGCCACATTATTCATAATACCTTTCATAATGCATCTTTCAATTGTGCATAATTTTGTCTTATCTTTCTATAAGAACATATTGCTTTCTATTAGCACTCATTATGCTTTAATATTTTGCCCTTGTTTAAAAATTATGTATAGAAACACAGTCATTCCCTAGTCCTATTAAAAAGCTCTGGCCCTTACAGGGATAATGATGACAGGAGATGGACAGAGGAGTGGTACCCTTCCAAAAGAGTACTTGTAAAACGTTTTCAGGGTGACATACACCCAGAGCGATCTCTACTTGCTGGTGCATGACTTATACTTACATTCCTTCATTTCCCAACAACTTCTATGTGTTTTGAAATTGTATCTCCAGAAAGACATCTTGAAGTCCTAACCTCCTGAGAATGTGCCCTTATATGAAAATGTCTTGGTACATGTTATCACTCTAAGATACAATTACATTGGAGTTCAGTGAGCCCTTAATTCAGGATGACTGGTTTCTTGAGAAGAGTGACAGGGAGGACACAGCCATGAAGACAAGGACATGAGAAGAAACATCATGTGATAATGTAGGCAGAGATTGAAATGTTTCTCTTACAAGTCAATACCACCAAGTATTATCAACAACCATCAGACACAACAAAGAAGCAGTAAGGATTCTCTCTGGATTTGAGAGGGAGAACCACTCTGCTAATATTTGATTTTAGACTGATAGCTTCCAGGACTGTGACACAATCAAATTCTGTTGTTTCAAGTCATCAATTAGTGCTCTTTATTATAGCAGACTTCAGAAACAGATAGATTTCCCTTGTAGGAAATCTGTAGGACTGGTGATTTTCTTCTGATCAATGAGAGAAAGCAAAGAGTACTCTTTCTTGCTCTCAGTCCAAAGCTATAGACTTCCTTTCCCTTGTCAGCAAAGAAAAAGCAAACCACTATGTGTCCTTCAGCCAAAAAGAACTTGAATCTGTAAACAAAAAAGGAGGTGGATCCTTCCCTAGCCAAGCCTTTGAATGAGATGTCAGTCTGGCCACCCTCTAAACTACTACCTGTAAGTATCTAAGCAGAGGAGCCAGGTAAATTATACCTGGAATTTGTGTGTGTGTGTGTGTGTGTGTGTGTGTGTGTGTGTGGTGTGTGTGTGTGTGTGTGTGTGTGTGTGTGTGGTGTGTGTGTGTGTGTGTGTGTGCGTGCTAACATTTTAACACTGTAGCCATGCCTCCACTTTTGGCTTTTTGTTGGTCAATTGGAGATAAGGGTCTCTTGGGTTGCTGTGCCCAGGCTAGCTTCGAACCTAGATTCTCAGATCTTAGCCTCCTGAGTAGGAAAGATTATAGGTAGCCACTGACATGCAGCTGTACCTGGAATCCTGACCCATAGAAATGGTGACATAATGACTGTGTACTATTTTAAGCTGCTGTTTATAGTAATCTGTTACATAGCAAAGAAAACTAATACATTTTAATAAGAGCATAGAAGACTGGCTTTCATTCAGTCTAGGCCTAAAAAATATTGAAAGCTGACTTAAGGATGCTTTTAAGGATACTGCTAAGGTTCTCATCATGGAAAACCTCTTTCAGTTCCCTGGGTCATACATCTTTTTTTATCAGGAAGTTTCTTATAGCTTTCTTCCTTAGTTCCTTAGGTGTCCAGTCTTTACTCCTGGTTGTTGGTGCTAGGATCTTTCAGTCCCTCAAGAGGCTGGCCTTACTGGCTAGGAACCAGGCCAATCCAATGTCGATAGCCTCCTCCAAGAAACCCATATCTGGAAATCAGTAAAAAAAAACAAAAAACAAATATCCTGTGTTCCATTCAACTATAGAAGTGAATGCAGTTCCCACCATGGCAGCACTGTCCTTGAACACACCTCTGTTGTAGATCTGCTACACAGCCAATCTATGGGGTCCTTTCAATGACAGGAAACCATATTCGGTTTATCCAGAGTCTAAGTGAAGTTCTTCCTTCACTTTAGGGAAAGAGTGGGGTGGGTGACAGTCATGCAGGTAAGAATTTACTCCAAAGAACTTCTCTGCCAATCTTCTCCATATTCTCTAAACATTTTTATCCTTAATCTGTTCAATAATTGAAGATCCATAAAATTCACTATTAATGCTTCTTTTACAAATTATGTGCATGAAGATTTGTCTATTTGATCTATTTCATTGGTAAGGGTACCAGAATGAAAACAGGAAAAGTACCATTACAACAACCTGCTCCATTTAGTATTCACAAGTCACAGAGTCATAAAAGAAGTATAATTTGATGAGCTTAATTTAACATTAACATTATTCATTTCTAGCTGACATTTCAAAAATCTCAATAACATTTATATACTTATATCACTATCAAGACTTTGAACCCTACTTGAAAAAATAGTGATTCAACACCCTCAGACAAGTTATACATAAAGTACTAGCAGAAATATAGAAAGAATCAAAGCATGCTGCATTATATAAAAACTCCAACTGCCAACCCACACAGAAAAGTCTATGTATTTCCAATTAACCAGCAAAAAGCTGGGAAGTAAAAGTGTGGCTTGAATGGTAGAGCATCAGCCTTAAGCAAAAAGCAAGTGAGAGCAAGGCCCTGAGTTCAAGCCCTAGTACTAGCCCACATATGTGCACATGCATGTGCAAATGCATGCACACGTGCATACATGCTCATACACGTGTACACACACACACACACACACACACATACACACACGTCTTCCAACTCTGAGAGCCCAAATGAAAAGAATGCTTTAGTTAAAACATAAAATGCTTATTCATTCATTTACTGAACAAATACTTATTAAGCACTTTCTAAGTAACAAACTTTTATTAATCAAACTTTTATTTAACAAAATAGCTTTAAAAAAAAAACACATATGTAAGTAGCAAAAGGCTCATGAGGTAAGCTTTGGAATACCTATTATTTTAGAATTACCTGAGAAAGCATTGCTGTAATACCTAGAGAGAGTCTGCATGATGTCTTTTGAGTGTTGGGTCCAAGGTGCAATCTTTCTGTAGGTTTTTACCCGGTGAACAAGTTGAGAGCCACCATATTGAAGAGACAGGGTATCACCATGATCTTCATAGAGCTCCTCAAATAACCTAAGCAGAAGATAAACTCACATTAAAGAACTGAACCACAATTATTGTACAAGTCATTCACTAGGCCAAAGACTCAGAACAAGACTTTTATTTTCTGAATTCTTCTGGGCCTTTTAAGGAGACTCTTCACCAACCTGGAAATAACTGTGAATAAAAACTTATATTTTATACTGACATCCTAATAAAGTCACAGAAAAAACTAAAAAGAAAATAAGAGGGGCTGGGAAGGTGGCTTAGTGGTAGAGCGCTTGCCTTGCATGCCAGAGGCCCTGGGTTCGATTCCTCAGCACCACATAAGCAAAAAGAAAAAAGCCGGAAGTGGCACTGTGGCTTAAGTGGTAGAGCGCTAGCCTTGAGTGAAGAGCTGAGGGACAGCACCCAGGCCCAGAGCTCAGGTCCCATGACCAGACCCCCCCCCCAAAAAAAGAAGAGTATCTAAAACCTCCCATCAAAAGCCAGACCAAGCTGTTTCTAGTAATATTAAAAAGACCCCTAAAGTTCTGAAGCCTGCTAGATCTATTCACCTCTCATGACAAAATTTGTTCCCTCTGAACTGCTTTGAAAAAAAAAATGTTCTCTTTTTGTAGACAATGCCTTACTCTATTTATACTGATACATATTCATACAGGCTGGGAAGTCAAAGGGAGAGGAACCAGCAGACTTAAGTGTCTGGTGAGGGCCCACTCCTGGTGTATCCTTCTCATTGCATCCTCACATGGGATGAAGCTAGCTAGCTGTCAGGTCTCTTTTAAAAGGGTACTAATGCCAATGATGAGTGTTCCATCTTCAGACCTAATTGCTTCCCAAAGACCCAGTCTCTCTTTTTTTAATGTGGAAACAAAATTTATTGTTCTTTTTTTCTTCTCTTCACACACACACACACACACACACATATATATATATATATATATATATATATATATATATATAATTGCAAAGATATTGTACAGAGGGGTCACAGTTACAAGAATAGGGTAGTGAGTACATTTCCTATCAAGCATTGTTACCCCCTCCTTTGGCACTGTCTCTTAATACCATCAGTTTAAAGTAAGGATTTCAACATGAATTTCAGGGAGATACAAATTTTGTGATAAGAGCAGATATATGAACCATCTTCTTTCTTAGAACTATGTTTGTATTTAAAACTTTTTTCTTCAATGTGTGGATGTTTAGAATACCATTTAATTAATCATGTCCAAGTGTAATTTTGTCTTTTACTATCCATTGGATTTACTTGTAGATTTATAGGCACATTCTACTATTACAAATGAGGGAAACCATGTAGCTTATGTTTCTTTGAGTCTGGCTTACTTCACTTAATAAAATTTTTTTTCCAAGTATTTCCAATATCTTATGAATTGGGGCAATGTCATTCTTTCTGATGGAAGCATAGAATTCCATTGTGTATATATGTACTACATTTTCTTGATCCATTCATCCACTAGGAGGATATTCTTAGGAGAGGATCACAAGGGTTCAATAGCTATGTGCATATGATCATATAAACTGATGCTTATCATGATGAACTCCAAGAAATGGAAACAAGAGGTTTTTTTATTGTACTGTTTGTGGTTATTTCCCCCCTGCCCCTTTGGATTATTCCCTTTTGTCACTGTTTTTGATTTCTGTACGCTTTGTCTTGTATATAAGTTGGGGAAAAACAGAAATGGTGGGACAAAGGGTGAACCAATTCACCAGTGCTAATAACTAGACACTATGTTGGAAATGAAATATACAACTTGTGGAAAGGGGGGTTAGAAGGGGAAAAACTGGAAGAAAATGGGGGAGGGGTAACACTGCTCAAAAAAAAAGGTACTCATTACCTGACTTATATAACTGTAACCCCTCTGTACATCACCTTTACAATAAAACTTAAAATAAAGAAATTGTTTCTTCAAGTGCCTGTTAATATATTCAGTGCAGTGATATCTGTGGACCTGGCCAAGTGTAAGCTAACTACTTCCTCAGCTGAACCTATATGAAAAAAAGCTCATATGACCAAGAACAGTTATCATTCTATTTAAAAGAAAAAATAATAGTATTTCATGCAATGTCACAGAGCCAATTCTCAGTAAAGAAACAGTAATCCTAAATGAAGAACTGATGTTCTATATATCTTACATAAATTTTTCAACTCAAAATGTATGAAAGGCTGGGCACTGGTGGCTCACGCCCATAATCCTAGCTATTCAGGAGGCTGAGATCTGAGGATAGCAGTTCAAAGCCAGCCCAGGCAGGAAAGTCTGTGAGACTCTTATCTCCAATAAACCACTAGAAAACCGGAAGTGGCACTGTGACTCAAGCAGTAGAGCGCTCGCCTTGAGCTGAAGAGCATAGGGACAGTGCCCAGGCCCAGAGTTCAAGCCTCACAACCGAAGGAAAAAAAATGTACGAAGGTACAGTATTTTTATTACTATTTTATTATTATCTGGATATTAAAATTAAACTAACAGTGTGACTATGCACTTTGGATTTATTTTTTTAAAGGAAGTAGTGTTTATTGGCAATATAAGGAAAAAGTCAAAACAAAAATAATGGTAATAATATGCAAATCTTTAATAGATAGATATTTATTACAGAATCAATGCAAACATGGTCATCTAGTAGCATAATCTTTGAAACGCTAATAACAGAAACAAATCCATAAAGATCCTTATTAATCGGTTTTCTTTCTGCTATTGCTGGCTTTCAAATAGCAGAAAATAAAGCTTACCTCACTGCATCTGTATCAAACTGTAGATTAGGTTTGTCAATCAATCCCAAAGAATACAGCTGATAAGCCAGAGCACATTTTCCCACCATAAACTGTGCTGTGTTGGTGCGATCTAAACAGTCCACACAGTTGGTTCGAAGAATGCCAGTCTAAAGAGAAACATCTTAAGATTTTCAATCAATTATTACTCAGCTACCAAAATTACTCACATAATAAAGGAAAATACTTTTCTTAAAGAAGTGGAAACAAGGCTGTAGGCAGATGTTATTCCTGAATAAATATGAGTTATTTAGTAAAAGTTAAAGGTTAAAATAATGAAGCACGCCTAAATTTTCATAAGGTTATGCTTGCTGCTAACTTAAAATTGTTGTAAGAGCATTAAACCTAGTCCACAGTCTTAATTTATTTCTCTGAAAATTTATTAAGATAAAATAAATAGCTAGCACATTTCACATGTATCAATTAGTGCAGACTTAAAAAAATCTCCTTAATTGTAGAAACTCAAATAGTAATTGGTTAAAACTATATCATCCTTTCTGTGTGTATGTATGCTGGCACTGGGGCTTGAACTCTGAAACTCAAGCTCTCACTCAGCTAGTGTTCTACAACTTTTAAGCCATTCAACTACCCTGCTTCTTGTTAATTACTAGAGATATATTCTCAAAGATTTTTCTGTGTGAACTGGGTTTGAACCTTGAATTGCTAGGGCTAAGCCACCAGGTCCCAGATAAAAACATGTATGTCTTTAAAAGTATACATAACAAGTAGTAGTAGACTGACTTGCTTTCCAGAGTCACTACCTTATTTTCACTTTCTTATTTGTGCTTCTATTTCTAATAATAAAACAATATACAGGGGGAAAAAAGGGGCAAGGGCCATATTACTATAGCTACATATCCTTTTATAAAATTTAAAAACACTGTAAAGGTTTTAAAAATCAATTTCAATGATTAATAATTCCATGTTAAATAAGATGTTTCTGTCTCCATGGTTGATTATACAAAATATACACACAAGGAATATATTCTATTGATTATGAATACATAAAACCTTCTATACCTGTAGGCGACCAGAGGGAATCACACATCCTCCTAGTTCATTCCACCTGTGTTTAAAAATAAATGCTTTTAAGAAAATGTTTTTCCAGTGCTGAGAACTGAACCTAGGTTCTTGATCACATGCTCTATCACTTAGCTATATTTTGTCTGTTGCTTTTTTAAAAAAGAAAATAGCAATATAATTGGTATTTATTTTTGGTACTCTTTGTTAAGAATCACAGAATCCAAATAACAGAGCTAAAGGCACCACACAAAAAAATCAACTCATTTTGTGCACTCTCATTCTTGTTTTGTTTTGTTTTGCCGGTCCTGGGGCTTGAACTCAGGACTAGACACTGTCCCTGAGCCTCTTTGTGCTCAAGACTAGCACCTTACCACTTCAGCCAAAGTGCCACTTCTGGCTTTTCTAAGTAATTGATTGGAGATAAGAGTCTCTTGTACTTTTCTGCCCAGGATGGCTTCAAACCACAATCTCAGCCTCCTAAGTAGCTAGGATTACAGGCATGAGCCACCTGTGCCCAGCACACTCTCATTCAGGCAAGGAAATATGCAGATAACAAAGATGGACCCTTCACTATATTCTCTTCCAAGTATCCAGGAAAGGGACAGCTTAACTTGCCCCTACATTATGTCATTTTATCACTCATATTCAACCAAAGCCGTCCTTGCTTTCATATATATCTATGTCCTGTTTGGTCTCTTTAGCTATACATATCATAGGATATCCAATAAAAATCTCCCATGCCTTTGCCTTCTCCACTCAATACTAGGATTCTCCACCTCCAGTTTTTATTTATAAAGCCTCATTCTTATGGTTGTTATGCAAATTTCCTTTTAGAGACTACTGATTTTCTCCATGTGGTAAATAATGTATAGAAATGCGCTGTATTATGAAATAATTCATCATAATTAACATTTATTTTAGGTATTTAAAAGAAAGTGCTTGACAGGAAAGACAGGTCTGACTGACCTTCTTAGAAAGGTCTGCTTACAAAGTCAATGCCTGACTGGTATCTGGTAATGTGAATTTTAGAACAGTTCCCACTATTCCTAGAATTAGTAAAAAATGTTTGTCTACGCTTAAAACTATTTGCAGAACAATATGGTTTTTGATGAACACTATTTTTCTGGACATCTGGAATTTTGATACTTGCCAGACAGAAGCTGCATATGTGACCACATACCAGGAAAGATTCCTGAATCTTTAACAAGCTTCTCTGACTAGCAATGTTTTATACATAGAGTCACAGCTTAATTCTCTGGGAATTAAGTGTGTTTTATGAGACTCCACTGTGAGAAAATGCTGGAAGCTTGTGCCTAGATTCTTCTGGGGGACTCTGTCCCGTGTACCTTTTCCCTTTGCCAATTTTACTTTGTATTCTTTCACCATAATAAATTATAACTAGAGAATAAAATATGCTGGATACTGAGTGTTCCTAGTGAATCACTGAACAAAGGAGCAGACAGAGATCATAGATCTCCAGTGGACCACTGGAGTGGACCAGGTTTGCTAAAAGCCTAACGATGACAAATGTGAGCTATAACAAAACAATTATTTCCAAAAGACATATAAACTTATAGCTCATTTGGGGATTTTGCTATTTGACCATTTTAGTTAACTATGTTAACGAAAAATAAAATTCAGGAAATAAATAATACTGCTTCCTTAAAAGATAAAACACATACCATTCACCTGAAACACTCACAAATTAGTAATGAAGGTTTGTGAATACGTAACTACCATACCACGATAGTTTCACAGAAGTGTTTATATTTAATCTACCAGAAAATTTTTATTTTTAATTAAATATTGAGCAATATAATTAACTATGGAAATTTTTACTTTTCAGAAATATATCCTGTGGGGTTTTATGGTCCCATAAAGCAAGAGCAGGACCCTGTGGCTTCCACCTCAAGGTCATATAACCACCAGAGGAACTCCCAGGCCCACAGTTCATTATACATTCTTAGAAGCATCTTCTAAAAAGTATAAACTGCCTCTATTTAGGATATTTTTATCCATAAGAACAAAAATTGTGATTTAAGTTTTTAATATGATACATAATGTTCTTTTTTTTTTTTTGCCAGTCCTGAGGCTTGAACTCAGGGCCTGGGCATTGTCCCTGAGCTTCTTTTTGCTCAAAGCTAGCACTCTACCACTTGAACCACAGCACCACTTCCAGCATTTTCTGTTTATGTTGTACTGAGAAATCAAACCCAGGGCTTCATGCATGCTAGGCAAGCACTCTACCACTAAGCCATATTCCCAGCCCGATACATACTTTTCATCTGGCCGTAAAATGCTACAGTAAGAATCAGGGCGGTTTACAAAGAAACCTGTTTTCTTCACCACACTTTCTGCAATCACATTCAGTCGATCGAGAACATTACACAGCTTGCTGGAGAAAGAATGATAAAAGTGAGAAGAACCCAACTTTTATACATAGCCTACATAGCTATAAATAATAAAATCTATAGTAAAGATATTCAGGGATTTAATTTTGTAAATCTCTTGGCTTATACTTAATAGGAACACTAATAATTAAGGTAGGAATGGATTGTGTACTCAGTAACCAATAAAATCAGAGGCAAAAGAGAGCTAGCATTCTTAATCTTGGCATGAGCCATCCCTACAGGAACTTCTCTTAAAGTCTTTCATTCCTTAAGAGCTGTCAATCAAGTCACCATGCATTCATGAAATGACTGTAAGGAGCACATGGACAGTGCGGTCATAGGGGAAGGAAAAAAAGGAAAATAATATGAATGGCAATAACCAAAATCAACTTTACATTGTGAGAAAAGTGAGTACGTGTATGAATATAGTGTGAGTGTACATAAAATGATTTAGAAAAGAGCATAAGTTGAGTACAAAACAATTTAATATAAAAAATAAGACCAGAAAATCAATCTAGTGCTTATGTGGACACAAAGACAATGTAAGGTTAAATGAAAAAAAAAAAACATTCCTTAGAAGAGATGAGCTTTGAGTCAGATCTTGAAAGACAAGAGAAAGAAGTAGGAAAGGGTAGCACAGAGAACATTCATTAGGAACAAAAGCTCAGGGTTGGGACATTTGAGGCAGGGCATAAAGACCAAGTTGTAGTCCTGGAAATAAGAGGTTATGACACTATGGAACCACCCAGTTGATGAAGCTCTGACATTAAACTAAGGGGCTTGGATTAACTATAAACTATCAAGGTTACAGATTCATCCACAATAGGAGAGTGGTGTCAGAGAGAATTTAAATAACAAAATAGAGGGAAACAGAAAAGGGAAACTATAGAATTGAGGTAGTTTGAAATAGCTGGACACTTTGCAAGTGACATTTATGTCAGGCAGAAAGAGTGGGGTCACATTGCAACAATGAAATGTACAAGACGTTATGTCAAAAAAAGAGCTTTACAACTTTGGGGGGGGTTTGGGGCGGGGGAGCTGGGAGGGCAGGGATGGTAAGGGGAAACTAAAGAGGAGGCAACAATGCTTGATAAGAAATGTACTCATGGGGCTGGGAAGGTGGCTCAGTGGTAGAGTGCATGCCTTGCAAGCATGAGGCCCTGGGTTTGATTCCTCAGCACCACATAAGAAAAAAGCCGGAAGTAGCGCTGTGGCTCAAGTGGTAGAGTGCTGGCCTTGAGCTGAAGAGCTAAGGGACAGCGCCCAGGCCCAGAGTTCAGTCCCCACGACCGGACCCCCCCCCAAAAAAAGAAATGTACTCATTACCTTGCTCATATAATTATAACCCTTCTGTACGGTATTTTCACAATAAAAAAAAATTTTTTTTAAAGAGTGGGGTCAATTCATTTAAGCAGTCAATCAATCTCTCAGCATGTTTCAAGAGGGGACTCGCAGAAACCAACTCCTGCCATTTGTTACTACAAGAAAAGGGAACTATAACAGAGAGACATACGAGTGCCTTTCACCTTTTCGTGTACTTGGCCATATCCCAGGGGATGTAGACAATGGTGTGCTCAGGAGGCAGGAACTGATTAAGATAGGTCACAGCAGCAACAAGTTCTTCACTCAGTATTCTCTCATGCTTTCTTTTTTCTCTTTCCTTTATCAAAAATATAAAAAATTTAAATGTCTACATTATAACTGCCCCAAAGCAAAGACTTAATAAGCACTTGTACTTTTCAGCCAAGCTAAGAAAAAAAGGCTAAGTTGCAAACTACTGAAATAAACCTATTTCTAATATGTAAATAATACAAATCCTTTTTGAATGAGAGTCAACAGATGAGCATTTATTTATTTGGCAGGTAGGCTCTACCACTTGAGTTACATCCCAAGTACTTTGCTTTTAGTTTTGTTTTTCAGGGATCTTCCACTTTTTTCCCAGGCCTTGAACCTCAATCCTTCAGTTTGCAACTCTTCAGTAGCTGGGATTACAGTCATGTAACACCCAGACTAGATAATGAGTTCTAAAGAGCTCAGGGGATCAAATTTCTAACAACTATTCCAAACCCTCTTTGTCCCATACAGGTCTGGCCCACATTTGGCAGAAGACCCTCCCTGACCCCCACGACCAGAAGAAAGGATTCCATCCACTCCAGCTAGCCAAGGAGCAGAGAAAAATGAGATGGGTATAGTAGACAATCTCCACCTGGTTTAACATAGGATATTTTCAAAGCCTTCATATTCTTTCATATTTGACTCACAAAACACCTTGTGAAGTAGCCAAGCCAAGAATTTTCTCCCTTTTATCTTGTGGCGGAATAAACTGAGGCTAAGAGGCATTTATGGCATTATACTTTACTTCCTGCCCATAGTATGTCCTTCAACACTGCCCTATCAAGAAGGCTAGTGTTTTACTGTCTCTCTGAGGATGCAATACTGCTACTTACTGTTTTGGGCAATATTTCCATTTCCCTTAGTCTCTATTTTTTTAAATCTATAAAATAGGTAACAACAGTTATCTTCCTTTTATAGCATTAATGTGAGGTTGAAATTAAGAATTTTTTCAAAGTTTATTATTTGTGTGAGTTGAAGAGAACTAATTAATTTAGAACTTAATACAGCTTAGACAATATAATTTACAGACATTCCGTTTCAATATGAATTGTGTTCATATGGTTCAGCTACAGTCCTGAAAATAATCTTCACCTGGCCCAATTTTAATGTAAATTAGACAAAGTTCTTATCTGCCCTGTAAATAAACCGTCTTCAGCACAACTTATGTCAGTGGCCTAACTATGGGGTAGGCAAAAAAGGTCCAGTTCAGTGGCAAGCATAGTTAGTTCATAATCACCTGTATAAAATAGTTCTTGAAGGTGCACAGTAAAATCTGTACATGGTAAGCACTCAATAAAAATGGGCTACTTTTAGTATTATCCCAAAGCTAACACTTAGGAATGAAGAAAAACAGTTTTCTAACAGTGACACTAAAAAGACTATAAGACATAATGGCTGGCATCCTAATGGTTCTGTATTCTTTTCAGTTGTGGAGATTACTTTTCAATTGCAATGAATACAATTAGATCTACTATGGAAACAAACAAGGAATTCTATTGTGCTTAATTAATCCAAATGGACAAACTAGAGAAGAATTAAGAAGTGTTAGATCAGTTTAGATTAACACTATGTGTTGATTCTTTTTCAATCTGAGAAGCTTACATATCTAGAATTCCTCACAAAAATACTTTAAATCAACTATGGAAACAAAAATATTTTGAAATTCTTATTTAAACCTGTCAATTTATAGGATAGAAAGAAAAGGTTACGATATCAACCTTTGATCATCTGTATGCAAAGATCTGCTTTGTACTGTCTATAGTGGATTGGTATTAATGAATTGTTTAGTCAACCTTCTCAGGATACAGACTCTTCTAAAAAATCAAATAAAAGCTTCACACATACAAGTTGTTCTATCATTTGATGAGGTTCCCCCTAATGGCCATCAGTGGCCCAGAGGCCTCTGATGTGTAGCTCAAGGTTGATCCTAGGGGACTACTTGTAGTAGCATTGAAAGTGCTTGGATTTCTGCAAAATGTCTTTTAACCAATGCCTCAAGCATCATACAAAATGAAAGAGAAAAAAATTAAAGAGAAAATTTCTATCTTAGTAGCTTCCACAGAATTATTCTACACACACCAGCATAACTTGACTCTTAATCCCAAATTACTAAGGTATTCTTCCAATTGAACAAAATATTTTTTATCCTATGGATAAAATGACCAGTGACAAAAGGCAACAGGATGTGTTTTTATTTTCCCCATGAAATGGCAACTTTATTTCCAACTATAATCTAATCTCTAGTTATTGTCAGGATTTTTTTATTACAATGGAACAATGACCTAATCTAATTTTAAAATCTATTGACTAGTTTTAAATATTCAAAAATAAATGTATATGTGAAAATCTGAGGAATGACAAACACAGAGAGAAACCCTAGTAAACCATCTAGCTGTACTTGCTATTTAGTTACTAGCTTTTATCACCAGTTTAAAGATCATGTAGCTAAGCAATCGACTCCTACTAGTTTTGCTCTGATGTATGAATTACAAGGGTAATGGCTACATAAGCTGCTTCTCAGAACTTGGAGGCTGCTTTTGATTTTCAAACCAGTTGAAATCACTGATCCTTCACTTGGGCCTATATAAGTGTCCAGTGGATGACCTTTTGATTTCAGGAGGCCCAAAGCTGCACTCTCAAAGTACATTAATGTGTTATTTTCTATGTTCTATGTGTTTCTATGTATTCTAGGAAAAGTCATAAAGTTTGACTATATAAGTACAGAACACTGATTATTCCATTTGTGCTTACTTCCCACCACCCTTCTCATGCCAGAGACCATTCTGCTTCTTTGTCCCATAAACCCCTCACCTCCTGGGGGAGACGAATCTGATGCTAGCTCTCTCGTATATACCCATGTGATTGGCTGCCCTGTAAATAAACCGTCTTCAGCACAACTTAAGTCAGTGGCCTAACTATGGGGTAGGCAAAAAAGGTCCAGCTCCGTGGCAAGCATAGTTAGTTCATAATCACCTACATAAAATAGTTTCTGAAGGTGCATAGTTAATGGAAGAATTAATTCAAGCACTATAGACCTGAATTCCATTTAACCAGAACATTTCAACCACACTGTGAAGACTTTGAAAACCATGAACAAAATCCACTAATTTATTTTTAGCAATGTTTTGTAACTCATTCCTTTAACAATATTTCTATATTAATATATACATTTAGTGGGAAATTGCTGATGAATATTTTTATCACTAAAGTTTTTCCACTTTAATTTTTCAATTTGTGTATTACAGTTTCTATTCAATAGTGAGAGAAGATTACAGATTATTTAGTTTCTCTCTTTTAATAGTCTAAGCCGACAGGGAAAGAGACATGAATATAGAATTTCTAAATAAATATGAATAAGTAGAAAGTGATGTATTTAATATCTGCATGATTTATTTGACAAAGCTAGTGAGATGTAATTACATAAATCAAAGAGCAACAAGGAAGAAAGAAACTACCTTATCATCTTCCTTCTCTCCCAGCCCTGTCTGATACTTTTCAATTTTGGGCCCTATTGCTCCATGCTCTTGATTAAACACACACACACACACACACACACACACACACACACACACACACACATTAGCTCATGTATTTAATTGTACTTTACAATCCATGCCTGAAAATTGTCTTTCTAACTAAGCTTTCCCTCCATTCTAGGTAATTTTCAGTACTTCTAACTTCTGTTGCACTCCATTTAAGTGCCTATTATCTTAGAGCATGTCATCCTCACAGCTAACTGCTCTGCCTTCCACATTTCTTAACTAGAACATCTTTTATTTTCAGATTGTTTCTGCCTTAAATGCCTCACCACATGAGGCCCCCACCTCACTAACTCCTCCTCATACAACTTGGCTCTCGAAGTCCACTGCAGTCATTCTATTGCCACTATCCAAAATGCCTTTGCTCTTGTCTTTTTATGTCTAAACTAAACAAACCTAAGTAAAGGTATGCAACAGCAGAACGGGTCTTTTAAGGAATCTTATTGCCAATGGATAGTCTGGGATATTTACAGTCAGCTTACATGCTTACACCCACATGTGCACAAGACTGTTAAACCTTCTCCACTGCCCTGAAACCTCTACTCTTAGTAACATTTCCTGCTATCTTAAAAATAAGTTAATGCTGCCAGAGAAGCAAGCACCCACATGTACATACTCTCTCTCTCTCTCTGACACACACACACACACACACACACACACACACACACACACACACATACACATACAAGGGCATGCCTATTGTCCCAGTTGAATACTGTTCTCTTTTCTCCTGAGTACTTCCTCCCACTTTGTGTTGAGCTGATTCCTCATGTCTTCTGAGAAGTGTTCTCTTCTATTAGGACCTGTACTGGGGCCTCTACATTACTTCACTGTCATCTCTCTCAGACTGGCAGCTCCATGAAGGCAAGATGTTTCTATGGTTGCCTTGGACGGTACCCTCGAAAACATTTGTTAAGTGACTAAATGGATATGAAATTCCTTGATTTTTTATTGATTAGTTTTATTAATCATTCTCTTAGAATTAACCTCACATATATTATGCTGTTGGCTACTGCCATGACCATTACATACAATATACATACACATATGTACATGTACTGTCAGGATATTTGGCTACTGACTGATTCTTTCAATTTACTTGGCTGTAACAGATATAGATAAAATTTACTGTGTGTCTCCTTGCCCTCCATCCCAAGCCTCTAGCCTGTTTGTATATATTCACATACACACACACACACATACATGTTGATCAGTCAGGATACTCTACTAGAAATCAGGGAACTCAGTCAGGATACTCTAATAAAAATCAGGGAACTGTGAAGCCATTGATACCACTCTGTTGAACCTCCTCATATGCCCACTTGAGTATTTAGCCACAAAAGGACCCAACTTCTGAACACATGATTTTTGTCTTATTATTATGTATTAATTTGTCCAAAAGTTGCTACAAACTGTAAGGACACTGGCTGAACCAAGGCAAGGTTGTAGCAGTGTGATCTTCATGCTTCCTTCTCCAAGTTGTCTTGAAAACTAATACAGAAATTTCATGGGCACCAAATTTATACAAGAAAATCAGAAGCTTTATACATTGAACCCTTTGTTCTTTTGGAAACATTGCTGACTCTTCTAGTATATAATGAAGAGGTCACAAGAAATCTGAGGTCAAAGCACAGTAGCTATTATAGTTATTATGTGAGCTACAAGCTATTATAGCATAAGAATCCTAAGTCTCTCCTTTGGGAAAAGGTAAAGTCCAGCTTGCAAATTTGCTCTGTGCTGAGGAAAGATTACCTAATGTGTTTGAAGAGCACATCATACCTTCACTAAATTCAGGATGATGATGGGAGAGCCAAACCTCTGAAGCATCTGATCAAAGTGAAGAGCAGCCACATGTGCAAATGGATCCGCCTGGTCCACTAAGAAAGGAAAAAGGATGAAGAAATGCTTGAAGGAAAATTATAAGGCAGAAACAAAAGAAGTGGAGTATCCTCAAGAATGCCAAAAGAAATGCAATGCAACTAATCTACCAGTTTCACTTTGAGAATCCCTCTCAATGTGTGATGCTCATTCATCATGTTTTTTTTTTCTTTTTTTCTTTTTTGTTGGTCATGGGGCCTAAACTCTGGCCTGGGCGCTGTCCCTCAGCTCTTCAGCTCAAGGCTAGTGCCCTACCACCTGAGCCACGGTGCAACTTCCAGCTTTTTTCTGCTTATGTGGTGCTGAGGAATCAAACCCAGGGCCTCCTGCATGTGAGGCAAGCACTCTACTACTGAGCCAACTTCCCAGCCCCATCATATATTTATTACATCTAAGTAACTCATAAGTTTCTGCAGTACAATGTAAATAATTTACTACCATTTAAAATTAAAGATAAATTTATTACATAAATAGAAATTATTCTTCTAAGTTATGTTAGAGGATTAAAACCTAATTGTTTATTAGATTTCTATGAGAATAGTTCATATGAGTAGAGGAGAGTTACTTATAAGACTGCTCCACGCACATGTAATAGGTGGCTTAGGCATCATAGTGGAGATGTCCTGGGACCAGTACAAGGGAACGGATCCTCTAACTTGCACATAAGAAGAATAACTGCCGGCAGTGAAAGACATCACAGAAGCATCACAAAGTATCTGTTCAGTCTCCACTTCATTTGCAACATCACCCTGAAATGAAGATGCAATTAAAGGTATTTTATGTTATTTTAACTTTTTAGTGAAAAAAACATTTCAAATGCACAGTGAAATTACAACTCCTATTCTTTTAATGTTTTAAAAGAGGTAAATGTTGTCAATAGTCGATGTGCACATTAGAAAAGCAAAACCACTAAGGTACAATAAAGAAAAGCAATTAAAAGTGGCAGAAAGACACTAGGAGGAAAATCAAATTTAATAGCTAGTAGCACAAGTAACAGATAAGTAAGAGCATTATGCCTGGTATAAATGATAGGAATGGAAAGAAAAGACAAACAATTATATGAAATTATACAGGAGATAAGGAAGATCAGAGGGATATCAAAATTCAGTTCTGAATAACCAAAGAGGACTGAAATGATGAAAGAGTGAGATTCAAATAATGCCTCATGGGCAGAAGGAAATAATCATGTCGTCGGAGAGGGGGGATGATTTCAAGGCAGCTTTACTTACAAGGATATAAAAAAATGATTTTAGAGACATTAGTAACATGTCTATAAATACTAAAGGGGCAAAACTCTGACTTTTTAAAGTATCAGTTATAATGCCTTTCAATGCTGATAAAATTGGAAGAACAATGATGCTATTTTTAAGCCAGGATCAAAGTCCAATGCCTCATTCAAGTTGCTATTCAATCACACATCCCTCAAGATTCAGTTGTGCACTTCGGACAGGGATGGATCATTCAAGGAGATGACATGGCTGATATCAAGATGGGAGAGTTGCCATTTTCTATAGTGAACAGCCAAAGGAGTCCAGGAAAGAAGACAATGTTGTGCCATACTCTATTCTATCATGAATGTTCTCCCAACAAGGAGGACACCCTTCTTCTATTGCTTGAGTGTATGTAGGGGGTGCTTTGATGTTTCTGTCTCTACATTAAACATTTTTTCACATATTTCAGAAATGGTTCATCCTCCCAAACATGAGCAATTTCATAACTCCATATTTCTCCCTAATTTTAGATACTCTGAAGAATTATTTTCTTGATATGCCAAACTCAGGAATTATACTTTCTAATATTCTACTCTGCTTCATTCCCATCAGCAAAGCTGATTCCCATCAGCAACACTGTCGGCCATCTTACCTCACAGTTTGCTCCTCTCTTGAGAAAACGGGTCCCAGCAAACTTACTGGATCTTCTGGCTATTAGAGTAACATAGACTGGACGTCCATAGATCAACAGTTCTTAGAAATCAGGTTAAGGTAGTTTAGCATTTTAAAGTGTCATACAACATCAAGAATCACTGTATCTTAGCATGCATGTGTTTAGATGAACTTTTCCAATAACCTAGAGATGTCAAAAGCTTCACCCAAGGATAAAAGAACACTAAGTCTAGTGGTTCTTCTGAAGAGTCAGGTATGATGGCAAAAACCAACCTGCCTAAGGAATGGTTTCTCTGAATTTCAGAGGGAATGAACCAAGTATAGTGCTGCTGGCTAAGAGAAGACGTCTGTCCTTACAGCCATGTAAAGATGGAAACTAGAACAACTAAACCTTTAGTCTTCAGAGTTGAATGCCTTTCAAAGAGAGCAGTATCACTTGACCAGACACTTAAATTATGAAGCATGACAAAGTTCAAGAGGAAGTGTACTCATTACCTCACTCATGTAACTGTAACCCTCTGTATAGTATCTTTACAATAAAAAATTTTAAAAAAAATTATGAAGCATGATAGTGCTATTATATATAATACCAAGGAAACTGAATGAATACTTGAAGAGCAGTCCAAAACCTGAATACTGAATGAATTAGTGTGAACTGCTTAAGCAAATTACAGCTTATTAGTTATATTACTTTCTGAGCCACAATCTTATTATAAAAATTAAAAAGTAGCAAAGATTGAACATCCCTAATCTAAATATCTAAAATTCAAAATGTACTATAATCCTAAAATATTTGAGCAACAACATGAGCCACAGTGGAAAATTCCACACCTGACCTCACAGACCACAGTCAAAATGCAGGCAGACTAAAAATTTGTAGAAAAATTCCAAATGCTTAGGGTATATGTGAAGCATAACTAAAATTTCATCTTTAGATTTGGCTCTCCAAGATATTTCATCCTTTTTCAAATATTCCAAAATTGGAAGAAATTTAAATTCTGAAACACTTTTGGTCCCTAAACATTGTAGATAAAAGACTACAAAGACTGTACTGTTACTAGGTGGATGGGAAGATTAGCTGAGGTAATTTGTGTTAGACTCCTAATCCCTGGCCTGGAGGAAATGTTCACGAGACAGCAATGGCTTTTATCATTGCATACACTGCCAAAATTCATTAAATGCTTGATGACTGGGAGACAAGATGCATCATTTAAACTAATGAGCTTTAAAATGATAATCTATGGTGCTGTTCACTATTTAAAAACAAGCACTGCCAACATCCAGTTTGCCAGGTCCTGAGCTAAGCTCTTAGAACTACACTTTAAAAATGGATCTTAGGACTGGGAGACAGACAGGGAAGGGTGACATGGTCCAAGAAGAAATGTGTTCTTTACCTGACTTACATAACTGTAACCTCTCTGTATATCACCTTTATAATAATAATTTTAAAAATTTAATGGATTTTAGACTCATTGCAGTAATTCTCTTGGCAATTTTGGTGATAAAAAAAACTTGTTTTTCCCAGATATATTTTATTTTTAAAAACAGACAAAAGTGATTCAGGACCAAATCTCACTGTATAGTGAATCAGCAGATAGAACTCTGGTTCAAAATGATTATAAAGTAATGAGCCTGATGTTCAAGTATAGCAGCATATCAATCCCACTCATCTCCACTTCAAAACCCTATGTCTGCACTTGACCTCTCATCTCCCTACTTGTCACAGAGAAAGCAGCACTTCTGTTCTCCAAGGCCAGCCTCTCTGGATATGCCAGTGATTCCCTTTCTCTCAAATACCCAGGTGAAAAAAAAGCATGAGCCTAGAGGGCGCTGGTGATTCATGACTACAATCCTAGTTCCTTAGGAGGCTGAAAACTGAGGATTGCCATTTGAAGGCAGAACGGGCAGAAAAGTCTGTGAGACTTCTATCTACAATTAACCACACAAAAAAAGCCAGAAGTGGAACTGTGGCTCAAGTGAGCAAAGGCACTCAGGGATAGAGCCCAGGCCCTTAGTTCATGCCCCAGGACAGGCACAAGAAAAAAAAAATTCATAGTGGTTAGTCACATTCCTACATTTAATGGCTTTGAAGCCTATATCTTTAAAAGCCTAGGATATAAGAAAAAAAACTACAAACACACTAAGTGCACAACTTCCCTCTATTAGCTCCAACTGTGATGAGAAAAACCTAAATCCACTTCTAAATAGTATCCACTGTCCTTTTAAACCCCACAGCACAATGGCACTTTCTTGAAAGGTATCTATGTTAATTAGAAATTAGGGAGAATGATGAAAAGGGTAACATCAATCAAGATGCAGTGTATTTGTAAATTTGGTTAATAGTAACTCCTTTGTACAACTACTAAAAGATAATAATAATAATTCTTTTTTAAATAAATTTTAAGCCAAGTACTGGTGGCTCTTGCTTGAAAATCCTAGCCACACAGGAGACTGAGATCTGAGGATCACAGTTCAAACCCAGACCAAGCAGGAAAGTCTATGGGACTCTTATCCCCAATTACACCAAAAATCCAGAAGTGAGCTGTGAATCAAGTGGTAGATTGCTATCCTTAAGCAAAAGCACAGTGCTCAGTCTCTGAATTCAAGCCCTAGGACCTGTACAAGGAGAAAAGAAAAGACAGAGAGAAAGAAATTAAATGAAAGAAAACATGTTTGTAGAGGGAAAAAGTAAATAATAAATTGAACTTACCAGCTTAATCCAAGCCTGCACTGCACTGGGCCTAAACTATTACTGAAGGCTTTTTCTAACTCATGTCCCTTGTCTCATTTTTCCTAATTCAGTTTCAAAATGACTTGTCAACTCAAACTTCCTATAAATACTACTTACCACCCTCCTAAACAAAAACTTTCAAAAGTATCAGCATCAAGCCTAAAGACTCTCTGACCATCAAGTTTTAGCCTGAACAGATCAATCTGGTGACACAATCTGACTCACATCTCTGGTATACTTCCCATTACATCCTGCCTCCTGAGAATCGTACACAAGCCAGAGAACACTGCCATGCATTTTTTTCCACTTCCTACCCCATGGTGCTTCTCCAACTAGCAATGTCACTCTTTGCTCACTGCTAAGGCATGAATTTTGTTTAGGGCCTAGATTAAGATTTGTTCTCATAAACCTGTACTATCCTCTCTGTCAGGTATTTTGATCCTTCTCTCATCTAAATACGATCTTCATTACCTCTATCACTAGGATATAAGAATATACAGCACTTATATACAGCACTTTCTTCCTCGTTATTTCTGTGTGTGTGTATGTGTGTGTGTGTGCGTGCGTGTGTCTAATAGTTCCGTTTGAATAGTCTGCATCCTCCTTTGCAATATCTATTATAAAGCACCATGGGCAAAATTTCCCTGTTGAATTACATAGAGTGATCATTATAATCCTATAGTTTCTATGTTTCTTTCTGCAAATTGTTCAGTGTAAGTCTTAAGGTTTTTATGAAAAGGATACTTGACTGTCCACAGAATCCATGAATGATATATAACAACCAGTCACGATGCACAGTATTTTTAATTATTTCCAGAAGTTCACCATTCCACACGTACTTCATATAAGGCTCACTACAGATCCCAAATACACCTGAAAAATAAGTTTGTATCAGAAAGATAAAGAAATTGATATCCAACTCATTTTCAAGAGTTTCCACTTCAGTATTTAACTCCAAAATACAATGCCTGATTAACAGCATTGTCATGTTAATAGATACCATTCATATCAGCATTCAGAACACTGAGTTTCTGTACAAAGCCAAAAAAGAGAAGCACTTGAGAGCTTTTCATATAAGGGAAAAGGGGAGGAAAATTAAGGAGACATACACGAAATCTAAGAATAAAGCCATGAAATGGCAGAAGGTACCCTGTGAGAACACAGCATGGGGACAGTGCTTGGATCCAGTTCACCCTGACTCTAGCTCTTAAGTAGTATGACAGTCATAAGGTAGAGAGCTACTTATACTTACTAAGAAAGTACCTCTGTTTACTCATTTGCATCTGACATATGGTTGTTTTGAGGATGACATAAATTAGTTAGCCCTGCTAAGAGTAGGGCCTAAGAAAGTATACTTGGTCAGGCTGAGCAAGTGAAAAAGCAATCTCTGACATGCTGCACTAGTGCTTCTGGACACTGGCATATAATCTTCATTTCTGGGCCTCGGTTTCTTAGTAAATCTTTAATTCTGTAAAATTAGAGTTATAGCTGGATGCCTGGTGGTTCATCCCTGTAATCCTAGCTAATCTAAGGATTGCAGTTCAAAGCCAGCCCAGGTAGGAAAGTCTATGGACTCTGATCTCCAATTAACTACCAAAAAACCAGAAGTAGAGCTCAAAGTAGTAGAGTGCTAGCCTTGAATGAAAGAGCTCAGGGACAGCATCCAGGCCCTGAATTCAAGCCCTACAACCAAAAAAAAAAAAATGGCGTTATACCCAAGAGCAGAGTTTTATGACACTTAGAACATTACATGTAAACATCTAGCACACAATAAATAACACATCTTTTCCCTAAATTCTGCTTCTATAAAACTGTTTCTCTGAAAGAAAAGATTATGAGTATTCTACAGTTTCAAAGAAATAGAGAAAGAGAAAAAGAAAGGAAGAAAAAAGAAAGAAAATAAAAGAAAGGAAGGAAGGAAGAAAGAAAGGAAGGAAAGAAAGAAAAAGACCGAGAGAGGGAGAGGGAGGGAGGGAGGGAGGGAAGGAAGGAAGGACAGAAAAGAATTACTCATTTAAATTTCAATAGAAGTCTATGCCTGAATATATCCCTTAAAAGGTACACGAATAGCCAGGTGCCAATGGCTCATGTCTGTAATCCTAGCTACTCCGGAGGCTGAGATCTGAGGATCATGTTTGGAAGCTAGCCTGGTTAGGAAAGTGCAAGAGACTCTTACCTCCAGTTAGCCACAGAAAAAGCTGGAGGTGGCACTGTGGCTCAAGTGGTAGACTGCTAGTCTTGAGTTAAAGGAACCTAGGGACAGAGCACAGGCCCAGAGTTCAAGCCTGAGGACAGGCAAAAAAAAGTGCATGAACAGCCAGGTGCTAGTGGCTCACACCTATAATCCTAGCTATCAGGAGGAAGAGATCTGAGAACTGCCATTTGAAGCCAGCCTGGGTAGTAAAGCCTGTGACACTATTATCTTCAATTAACTACCAAAAAATAAATATAAAAAATAAAATAAAAACAAAAAAAACCTGAAATAGAGCTTTGGCTCAAGTGGTAGAGCACTACCCTTGAGCACAAAAGCTCAGGGACAGCACGGTTGAGTTTTAGGCTCCAGAATCAGAGTGTACATGCGCACATGCGCGCGCGCGCGCGCGCGCACACGCGCACACACACACACACACACACACACACACACACACAGTGCTTGAATAGCTGGGCACTGTGGGTGGCTCATGCTCAGGAGACAGAGATCTGAGGATCATGGTTTGAAGCCATCCTGGGAAGAAAAGTGTTTGAGACTCTTATCTCCAATTAATCACCAAAAAGTCAGAAGTGGAGCTAAAGCAGTAGAGGGCTAGCCATATGCAAAAAGCTCAGGAACAGTACCCAGGCCTAAGTTAAAGCCTCAGGACCAGTACAAAAAAAAATTGAATGAATAACTGCTAGAAAATGTCAGCAATTTTCTGGCTGGCCTACAAATGAAATCAAATACTGATTAATGGTTTCTCTAAATTGGTCAAGGTCATGTACCACCACCACCCCCCAAAAAAAAAACTATGTAAAGATAAAGAGCAGATTTTGGAGAAATATGAAAGAAATGTGAGTGAATTTAATAAGGTACCATTTCATGGATGTCACATGCATTAAGTATCCTTCAAACCACCTACCACTTCCACCCTGTGTAATTAATCCTTCATCTTCAAAAATGTCAAAACTCTCCTGGCGAGCCTGGGTTGTTTCTGACTTTAACATCTCCAGGGGCATTCGCAAGACAGTAAGATTATATTGAAGTGAGTGGGACAAATCATAGCTGTAACTGAGAAGAGAAATGAAGCTTAAAAATTACAAAAGCAAAACATATTTCACAGTGTTGTTTCCTATACAGAATTAAAATCTGTGAACTAAATTATTTAACACCTGTTACTGAACTTGGAAGCAATGCTGTTCAAATAAGCCCTGGAAACAGAGCCAAATATTAATACAATTGGAAATAAAATAGTCACCACGTGAATTAGGCATTTGTATGACTAAAAATATTCAATATAATGTAAGAAGTCTACATTCCTTGATTAGTTCAATGTGCATTTTCTTGCTCCATACTGAAGCCATTGTTAAGTTCATGTCTATTTCAAAGGGTCATATTCATATCATACTATCTAAATGGCATTCTACATATAACTATAATACTTAAATAGTATAGTTCATGGTTCTTACTCTACTTTTCATATAAGCAAAAATAATTCTATTCATTATTAATAGTGGTATCATAACATTGTAAAACAGGAATAAGCACATATGTCATTATAGAGAAACATGATGTTTTAGGCAAAATAAAAGCCATATAAAAGTTAAAGTGTCATCAGTTGTCAGTTCACATCTATAAATCCTAGTTAACTCATTATGCTACAGGATCAGGAGCATCATGATTTGAGATCAACCCAAGCAAAACCTTCACAAGACATTATCATAACCAAGAAAAACCTGGGCATGATAACAAACCTGTCATATCAACTACAAAGGAAACATGTTAGGATGATCAAAGTATTGGCCAGTTCAGGCATAAATTTGGGACTACATTTAAAAACTAAAAACAAAAAAGGCTGGGGGTGTGACTCAAGCCACACTCAGAAGCATAATACCCTAAATATAAACCCCAATACTGAAATAAATAAATGAATAAATAAGTAAACTAAATTGTTTTTGAGCAAATAAAAACACATCTGCTACAATTTTGATTGACAATCATTTTATAAACACCTTTAGCTATTTTAGTACAAAATTTTAGAAGGTATCTTTGTTTATACAAATTTGCTTTTCAAGTACATTAGTAATATTATAAGATGGTTATAATCCTGCCTATAGATATGTATTAGTTATAATTTCTTCTGTATCTTATTTATACAATTTAGTTGATTTCAATTTTGTCTGTAAAACTTAGTTTTACCACATTGTTTGATGGCTCCATTTACTGCAATAGCATCTAATCTCAAAGGAATAAAAGCTATACTAAGAAACTGGTTTCTGACTTTTAACAATTAATTCTTCCTATTTAAAACAACTGCTTCATTCTAGCTAAGTCACAAGAAATAATATAACCTTGTTAAAACAATACCCACATACAGCTGATCATAAAATATTTACTGAAATGAATTTCAGAAAATGGAAATGAGATTTTTTTTCTTTTTTGCTAATTGTGTTTTCCTATCATTTTTGTCTTGTTTGTTCATTTATTTTTGGGAGGGTAAGGAGGCACAAAATGGTGGGACAAAGGGTGAACAAATACAGCAGTGGTGCTCACTAAACACTATGTTGAAAAGGAACTATACAATGTGAGTGGGGACGAAAGAGGAAAAGTAGGAAGGAGAAAGGGGTGACATTGTTCAAAAGGAAATGTCCTCTTTATCTGACTTATGTAACTGTAACCACTCTGTACCTCACCTTTATAATAACAATTTAAAATGCATGAGAAAAAAAGAATACTTGGGAGACAATATCAGCCTAAGTGTTTTTACTTTTGGAATGATGTATAGAATTCAGCACAGGATGCAGACAAAACTCAGAGAAATGAAGTAAAAGGAGACTATTTGTAAAAGTACCACCAAACTTCTTAACCTTAAAGATGCCACAAACATAAAGTAAGCAATAAGGACTGAAAAGTACATGGTGGTGACAAATATACTTCCATCTGTAAAAGTGAAAATAATTTCATTCTATGATGATTAAAATAATAAATTTCAGCTTTACATCAATAAAGACATAACACACTCTACATATTAGACATGTATTTTATTCCATAAAAAACCAATTAACTTAATTAACAAAGTTAATTTCTTTAAAAAAAAAAAGTAAGATACCCTGTCAGCATATACTACCAGTAGCCACAAATGCCATGGGTCTTCTTTCTGGCTTTATGATTCAAGTCCTTACTGGTACATATTATTTCTTTTTAATTTTATTTTATTGTAAAGATGCTGTACCAAGGGGTTACAGTTACGTAAGGCAATGAGTACATTTCTTGTCGAGCATTGTTACCCCCTCCCTGTTGTGTTCCCACTATCCCTCCTCTCCCTCCCTTCCTCCCCCCAAGTTGTAAAGTTCATTTCCAATATACTGTCTTGTGGGTATCAGTCTTACAATGGGTCATCCTGTGTCCTTATTTCAGCATTTTGTTATTCCCCTTCCCTTCCCCAAATTAAGACAAATGTATATACAAGATGCAGGGTACCAAAATCAAGTACAGTGATGACAGCCGATTTCCCATAGGGGGAAGAACATACAAAGGAAACAAAAAAAAAATCACATAGCACATTTAAAACAACAACAAAGAGAGACCTCGTGTCCATATCTTGGGGTTCATTTCACTTAGCAACATCTTATATGGTCATATGTACATAGCTTTTGAGCTTTTCTGCTCATCTGATAAAATAATCCTAGATATATACTAATTATTGCAAATGAGGGAAAACATGGGACCTATATTTCTTTGGGTCTGGCTTACTTTACTTAATATGATTTTTTTTCCAAGTCTTTCCATTTCCTAACAAAAGGGGCGATGTTATTCTTTCTGATGGAAGCACAGAATTCATATATATATATGTATGTATATATATATATATGTGTGTGTGTGTGTGTGTGTGTGTGTGTATGTATGTATATATACACATATATATCACATTTTTTGATCAATTAATCTACTGAGGGGCATCATATTATTTTGTGCTCTGTTTTTAGAGTAGACATTATGGCAGGTAGAATCTTCCAGAGTAAGGTTGTATACCAGATCCACATACTGGTCACATAAATGGTAACCTAACACTTGATCATAATGCTCTACCATAATTTACTTGCCTGTTCAATAGTATTTTGGGTTGTCCCTGGATTACCTGGTTAGCTTGTGATGTCCATAAATATCTAATAGAAATCTGTATTTTTAGCTGGGCACCAGTGGCTCATGCCTATAATTCTAACTACTCAGGAGGCTGAGATCTGAGGATCACAGTTCAAAGATAGCCTGGGCAGAAAAGTCCCCATGAGACTCTTATCTACAATTAACCACTTAAAAATCACAAATTGTACTGTGGTTCAATTGGTAGAGCACTAGCAATGAGGCAGGGACAGCATCCCACAACCAAAGAAAGAGAGAGAGAGAGAGAGAGTTTATATAGCTATATTTTTCCTCCTGACATTTTGTCTAGGATATGTTTTCATTATCTACTAAATTGTTAAAAAAAAAACTGTTAATATCACCAATAATATTTCAGTGTTAGCCGGGTGCTGGTGGCTCACGCCTGCAATCCTAGCTACTCAGGAGGCTGAGATTTGAGGATGTCGGTTCAAAGCCAGCCAGGGCAGGAAAGTCTGTGAGGCTCTTATCTCCAACAAACCACTAGAAAATCGGAAGTGGCGCTGTGGTCAAGCAGTAGAGCGCTCGCCTTGAGCTGAAGAGCACAGGGACAGCACCCAGGCCCAGAGTTCAAGCCCTACTACCAAAAAAAAAAAAAAATTCAGTGTTGCAAGAATTCTTCCTACTTTTTTACCTAATTTTTTCCAGATTAGTAACTAAAAATATAATTCTGGCATTGTTACAACTCAGTAAAGACAGAATCCAAGTAAACTGGTATTTCTTTTTTTCTTTTTCTTTTTTTTTTTTTTTTTTGTTGGTCATGGGGCCTGAACTCTGGGCTTGGGCGCTATCCCTGAGCTCTTCAGCCCAAGGCCAGTGCTCTACTACTTGAGCTACTTGAGCTACAGCGTCACTTCCAGTCTTCTAGTAGTTTATTGGAGATAAGAGTCTCACGGCCTTTCCTTCCCAAGGTGGTTTTGAACTATGATCGTCAGATCTCAGCTTCCTGAGTAGCTAGGATTAAAGGCGTGAGCCACCAGCACCTGGCCAAAATTGATTTTTATAGTGAGAATAAATAATGTCTTAATTTATCCATTCAAAAATTTTAAATATCAGATTTTCTAATGCTTCCAAGTGAAATAATTCACTATTAATTACACACTGATTCTGTTTTTACCCCCTGGAGAAAGTTTAAGTGATTCATAGGAACAAAACTAAACACAAACCTACCTAAAGTAAAAATTGCTAGATAGGTCCACATTTTGAAATATTCGTAGATACCTAAAAGAAAAATTAAAAGCATATTACATTTTATACAATTCTGTTATTTCTTACAGTTTAACATGTACTTATATTTATATTAGTAAGTACAGCATTGACCTGAGGAACTCAAGACATCCCTAAAACAGAGATGTCACTGAAGCAACTCTAAGTCTGCTGACTATCCTTCAGAGCCCTAACTTCAGTTTCACAGTCGTTCCTCATAGCAACAGGCTGCCAGGCACCCCACCCATGTGTGGGACACAGACAGAAATAAAGACTCTGTTTGTTTTACAGTGTATTTTGTAAATAACTTGAGGTTGGATAGAGCAAAAACAAAATATTTGTGGATCATTATAACTTTAAGTCAGTATGGGTTTTTTTGGGTTTTTTTATTGTGAAAAAACTGTACAGAGGGGTTACAATTACATGGGCAAGATAATGAGTACATTTCTTATTAAGCGAAAAATAAAGTATAGAATAAAATATCCACATTATCTACCACTCAGGAGTAAATAGCATTCACATTTTTTTCACACTCATTTTAATGCTTTTAGCATAAAACAATTAAAACAGAATTTTAAAAGTTAAAATCCAATTGTCTTCCCAGTTTCATTTTCTCTCACTAAATGCAATACTCTCCTGATTACTGTTATAATTCTTTGTCCACATTAGACATCTCTAAGTGACATATAACTTATATTGTATGCTAAATATACTACACAGACCATTTCATATTTTCTATATTGTTCTGCAACTAACTTTACTCACTTGTATTTTGAAATGCAGAGGTGTTGAAAGTTTAGAATTTGTTTGCTTTAATTGATGTTTACTGAATCATACATACCACATTTTACGTATGTATTCCTCAGCTGATAAGAGTAGTAAGTTCTTTCCTGTATTCCACCATAAGAAATAGTATAGCTAAGAACACTCCATTTTCATATATATATATATATATATATATATATATATATATTCACACAAAGAAGCAAAACCAATGGGTTGTAGATAATGCATTTTCAGTTGTACTAGAGTATGTCTGCCTGAGGGACTGTTATCACTCCAACTCACAGAGTATAACTCATTTATCTTCAAAGCCTGGATCTCAGAGTATGAATTCATTTCCCAATAACATTTGATGGCAGCAGATATTTTCTTCCTACTCTGATGAATGAGAAAGAAATAGTGTCTTTTAAAATTTGCAATTCCCAAACTAAAAGCAAAGTTCAGCATCTCTTCTGTGATGTATCTGCTCTTACTTTTAACCATTCCTCAGTAAGTCTGCTTATCTTTTTCTCCCTGAAATTTATCAGATATTCTAAATACTACTCTTTGTTATATGTTGTAAATGTTTACATTCACTGTTGTTTGTCTCCTAAAATTTGCCTAAATTGTAAAAGTATTTTTAATACAGAAAGCATCAAATATAGCAGTTTTCTCTTTTTCTTTGTTGGTCGTGAGTCTTGAACTCTGGGCCTGGGAGCTGTCGCTGAGCTCTACTTGAGCCACAGTGCCACTTCTGCTTTTCTGCTGATTAATTGTAGATAAGCGTCTTGAAGGGGCTGGGAAGGTGGCTCAGTGATAGAGTGCTTGCCTTGCATGCATGAGGCCTGGGTTCGATTCCTGAGCACCACATAAACAGAAAAAAAAAAAAAGAGTCTTGTGGACGTTCCTACTCAGGCTGGCTTTGAACCACGATCCTCTTACCTCCTGGCTTTGAACCACAATCCTCAGCCTCCTGAGTCGCTAGGATTACAGGTGTGAGCCACCAGCACCCAGCTAATCTAGCATTATTTATAAATTTTTTTTCCATGCTAAGATCTTGAAATATTTTCCATAAATTTCTTAAAGCTGTACTTTTTGAATTGTTCCTTGAAAACTATCAGAAAGTGGAATCTAATTTTATCACCTTTCAAATAGAAAAACCAGCATGTACACTAACTCTAATATATATCACTTTCCTAACTAAAATGGCTATTTTCTTGGACCTTCGTCACTCTGTTCATTGGCCAATGCCAATTCCTCCATGAATACCAAGCAGTCTTATCAGAAATAACAATCCAGTTATCTAAATTATTACAAGTCCTACTGTCTTGGTTAGACTTACGCTTTCTTGTTTTTCTTTTTTACAACTGTCTGGATTATGCTTAGACTTTTACGTTTCTACATGAATTTTAAAAGAAGCTTGTCATGTCCCATTTTTTATTAAACTTCTTGAGTGTAGGTTAAATTTACATTGAATGTATGAACCAATTTTAGAAAAAAAAGCAACACTTAGGATACTCAATCTTACCATCTATGAACAAAGGAACATCTTTCCCATTATTAGGGGTTTAAGTATTATTCAACAGTGCTAGAAATTTTCTCTATAATAAAGTTTTGTGTAATTTTGTTATACTTATTCCCAGATACAGTATGGTTTTGCTGCTACTGTGAATAGGGTCATCATGAAATTTTCTCTATCACTCAGGTGTGGGAAAATTACTGATTCATACATGTCTATTGTTTTCTTCAGTCATTTGTTTAATTTTTTCATTAGTTCTGAGAGTAGGTATTATTAGATTTTCTAAAGTAGAAAATCATGCTGCATACATAATGGCAATGCTTCTTTTTTCTTTTTTTATTGTAAAAATGCTGTACAGAGGGGTTACAGTTACATGAGCAAGGTAATGAGTACATTTCCTATTGAGCATTGTTTCCTCCTCCTTTGTTTCCCCTGCTTGTTTCTTTTCAAGCTTCATGCCTCAGCTTTCTAATCTTTCTAATCTATTGAATACAGCTTTTAATATATTTGTTATGGCAGATATCTCTATTTTTCCTTACTTCAAAGGCAATGTTTTAAATTTTGCTTCCAAGAATAATTTTAGATATAACTTTTTAATAAGCATCATTTACCAGGTTCAGAAAAGATACTTATATCCATAGTTTTCTAATCACTGATCGCAAATGGATCTGGAATTCTGCCACATATATTTACTACAAATGTGAAGATAGTCATATTTTTCCTCACCATATTTTAAAGTAATAATTTTCAGTAAATTTTCTAATGTTGATGTAACCATGTATTATAAAGATAATCTATACTTATCCTTATGTATGAAACATTAAATAGTACTTGCTTTAATTCTCAATATTTTATCTAATATTTTTATTGAAATGAATTATTATATGTTACTTAAATGAATTATTATATAATGTGTTAAACATTTACAAGTATGTTAAACATTTTCCTATCAAAGAATATTGCTTCATCCTACTTATAATAAAGTATAAATTTAACTGTATCTTATTCTGGATAATATCCATTCAGTATAGTAGTAATCATTGATAATTTCACTCTACACTAGCCAAATCACTGTATAGAAAAAAATTATTTTATATTCTTGAATCATGAATGCAGAGTTTACATATAAAGTATATATGAAGTATAAAGCATCTATAAACCTCTTGAACTCTTTTCTTCCCTTCATTTTTATGTGCTGGACTAATTTATTCACTTTCAATTAAATATATGTCTGCTTGTATGCTATTTGTGATATCACTTTCAGTTTGTACAAAACAAGAGATCTTTTTTATTTTACCCAGTAGATTGTATCCATCCTCATCTGAAGCAAATTATTTTTAGCATCACCACTAACAAGTTATTTAAAGTCAATATCACAAAAATCCAGAAAATTATTACCTAATGAGATCTCAAGTAAAAGATCTCTATCACCTCAAATTTCGATTTGTATGTCAAAAAAATACAATTAATAACAAAATTAAAATCTAAATCATTACCTATCCTAAAAACAAGGATGCCTAACTTTGTTTTATTTTAATCTTCAAGGGAACTTTTATAATTTTAAATCTATTTGTTGATAGCTTTTACCTACATTCTCAAGACTCTAATAACTTCCTCCTAGAATTTCTGAAAAGCTTCAAATCTATGAAAAGCTTAGGGGAAAAATAGTACAACCAATACCAGTATATCCTTCTTAAAAACTCAGTGTTAGAAGCTTTTTTAAACACTCTCTCTCTGTCTCTTTCTCTCGCTCGCTCGCTCTTTCTCTCTCTCTAAATACACAAGTACATTTTATTTTTCTAATCCTTTTCATTGAGAACCCACCATATGAAAATCTGAAATTTGAAATGCTCCAAAATCTGAAACCTTTTTGAGCCAATGTCATGACACTACAAAAAAAAAATGGAAAGTTCCACATTTGACCTCATATGACATGCAGCTGTCAAAACATAGATACACAAAGGATACTATATAAAATCACCTACTGTATATGTATAAGAAAAATATCTGAATTCTCTATTTAGACTTGGATCCCAGTCTCAAGATGTCATAGCATATTTAATGCAAATATCCCAACAAGTCTAAAATCTGAAACACTTCTCCCCCACATTTTGGATAAGAAATATTCAATCTGTGCCATTATTATATGTTGATAGCTCTCTGCATGTGTGTGCATGAAATGCACATCTGAATCAAAGATATAGTTGGAATTCATGTATTTTATCTGTTCTAAAATCTAGAATGGTCTTTTGTTTCTCTGTGATGACTGACATTTTTATGACATTTTTGAAGATATCAAAAATGGCTTGCAAAAAGTCCCATGACAGAAATTTTAAAACATTATTTTGGGGGCAGGGGGAATACAATCATACTATTCAGTGTCTATCATAATGCCTAGCATAATTGAGAGGAATGATGGTGTTGAAAGGGAAGGAGGACAAAGATGGAAGAGATGGTATTGTTCCATATGCATTGTGCTCATAAACTAACATGTTCAATGAATTCCTCTGTATAACAACTTAAAGATAATTTAAAAAATTAAAAAATTATTTCCTCATAGTTGAAGTCAAGTTTAATATTTTCAGCAAGAAATTACTTAATTATCTCACCTTGCTTCAATTAAAAAGTGCTATTATGCATGAGGCCAGTGGCTCATGCCTGGAATGGTGGCTCACTCCTGTAATCCCACCTACTCAGGAGGCTGAGATCTGAGGATAACGGTTCAAAGCCAGCCTGTGTAGGAAAGTCCCCAAGGCTCTTATCTCCAATAAACCACAGGAAGTTGTGTTTTGGCTCAAGTGGCAGTGTGCTTGCCTTGAACCGAAGAGCTGACAGACAGCACCCTGGCCCAGAGTTCAAGCCCTATGACTGACCAAAAAAAAAAAGAAAAGTGATACCATTTCATCATTTGGTTAAGTTTGTCTGCCAGTTATTCCATTAAGTATGTCTGCCATTATTATAAAATAAAGAATCATAAAAATTCTTTATCTTATAAATTGAAGAGATCCAAAGACTTTAATGTGTTAAGACTATGAATATTTTATTCCTTACACCTAATAGTATGGGTTTTGTTTTTTATTTTGGCTAATAATAGGGTTTGAACGCAAGCCCTCACTCTTGCTAGGTTTGTTTGCTCAGATGGCACAGTTACTTTGGAGACAGTCTCATGGACTTTTCTGCCTAGGCTAGCTTCTGATTGTGACCACTTGGATCTGCCTCTTGAGTTGGGAGGATTACAGGCATGAGCCACAGGTGCCTGGCACCTAATGATCTTAATAGCTACTGTTAAATCTTTGAATTGATTGTTATAATGGAGCTTTAATAGCCCTGAACAAAAGCTGTAGAATTCTAAGCCAATATTTGATCTTTTTATGCAACATTTATAATCTTTGATTATGCTTTGCTTTCTAATTGCTACAGTATTTGAAAAAATAATAAATAAAGTGAATGAATAATGTAAAACAGGCCCTGGTGATTCGTTCCTGTGATCTACCCACTCAAGAGGTTAAGATCCAGAAGAGACTGTGACTTGAGGCCAGCACAGGCAAAAAAGTTCATGAGACTCTATCTCCAAAATAACCAGCAGAAAGCTCAGCTGGAGGTGTGTGGCTTCAGTAGTACAGCACTAGCCAACCAAACAAGTCTAGCCAAGCAAATAAGATAAGCATTAGGTCCTGAGTTCAAACCCTAGGACTACCAAAAAGAAACGAAAACAAAAAGCCACCTAGTTACCACCAGTACATACCTAGCTTCATCAGGATGAGAAATCCGTACAGAATCATTGGGGATATAGATCATATTGGTATCTTCAATCTTATATATTGCATGACCTCCAATATCTGCCATCTTCCTCTGTTTGGTTATCAGCACAATATAATAACCTTCTAAAAACCTGACAAACCCTGTCAATGAAAAAAAAATCAGTAATGTTTATAAGCTTGGTGATGCTTTACACACATATTTAAGAGATCAGAGACTTGATAGGTTTCTGACTTGATCAAATCTCTGATTTATAGCCACAGAAATTTTTGATTGTATTACAAGTATTCTTTAGAAATACCCTTACTATCACTTATATCACCTAAAATTATTAATCTGAACAATTTTATTTCATTCATTATTCAATAAAATTAGTCTTATTCTAAATATGACTGAAGAGCCTTGAGCAAAAACATATAAAATATTAAAAGGAATTATTCAATAGATATAGACTTCAATTCTGAAAATGAAATCTTCTAGATCTGCTGACAAGGTACACAGTTATCACTGCTGAATGATGTAATTAAAAAGGATTCAGGTAGTACATTTTATGTTATATTATTTCCACAATTTTACTTATAAACACACACACATATACCCACACACACATACACACAGGACTGATAAAACTGAAGACACATTTCTTTGGCCTGTTTCACATGTCAAAACAGAACCCAATATATATTCCCTACAAACTAAAAGAATGTAGACAAGGCATACTGCTGAGTGGTGGTCTGGTGTGATTTGAAGACTTAAAAATCTATAGGAATACTGCCTCTAACATAATCTTCACAAAATACTAGTTGACAAATTTTAGTAGGAGAAGAGTCACTGTAAGCAAATAAATTTGAGAAATGCTAGGCTGAAAAACTTAAGAAAACTACACATATTTTTGAAACTTCCAGTTCAGAGAATGCTAATGTTCACACATGAGTCTTCATGATATATCCTCTAGACATGTGTAATCATGGAACGTCCTTCCTCTCCAAAAAAAAAAGACCAGGATATTCAATATATACTACATAAAAAATGAACTAAGCAATTTACACGCAGGGATGGGAGGGGGAAAATGAGGAAAAGCAAAGGAAGGGGTGACATTGTCTAAAAAGCATTGTACATGTTACCTGAATTATAAAACTAGAACCAAAGTGACATCTCTAACATTAAATTATACTGCTCCCGAACTACTCTGAGGCCCTTACATTGCTACTTTGGACTTCCCATCTATCTTTAAAGGCACTGTTTTAAGTAAGGGCTTAGTTTCTATTGCCTAGTTTACTACAAGGCACTTATCTTACCCATTCCCCTTTAAAACAATAGTAGTGCCAGTGGCTTACGCCTACTCAGGAGGCTGAGATCTGAGGACTGCAATTCAAAGCCAGCCTGGATTGGAAAGTCTGTGAGACTTTAGCTAGAATTAACAATCACAAAGCTGTAAGTGGGGAAAGACTTGGAAAAAATTATATTAAGTGAAGTAAGCCAGGCCCAAAGAAATATAGGTCCCATGGTTTCCCTTATTTGCAATAACTAGACAAACAGAAACTGTCAGACAAGTTGATGTTAGGCGAAATGAACCCCAAGATAAGGATTCAAATGTTTTTTTCTTTCTTGCGATTGTTGCCAACATATTTATAAGATGATTTCTTTGTTGCTTTGTATGTACCTCCCCCAGGGAATAAGCCCTGCTTTCACTGTATTTGATGTTGATATAATTTGTAGAGGGGAAGGAAAAAAAATTGTTTAAATAGGGTTACAGGTGGACCTATTACAACAATGAGATGTATAAGAAGTTATGGCGAAAAATGAACTTTACAACTTTGGCTGGGGGGGGGTGGGTGTAAGGAGAGTAGGGGGTGGGTGTGGAGAGGGGAAGGGATGGTATGGGAAAACAAAGGAGGAGGCAACAATGCTTGATAAGAAATGTACTATCTCTCCCATGTAATTGTAACCCCTCTGTATGGTATTTTCACAATTAAAAAAAAAAAAAGCTAGAAGTGGAGCTATGCTTCAAGTGATAAGAGTGGTAGCCTTGAGCAAAAGAAACTCTGGCCCTGAGTTCATACTCTATAACTGGCACACAGGAATACACACAGACACACACACACACACACACACACACACACACACACAAATAATAAAATAAACGAATGAATTAAATAAATGAGCAGTCTCTGACAGGTGATAAAGGCAATAAAAGGATATATTGCCTATGGGGTATGTATCAGAAGGACCTAGGATGGTCACAGAGTTGACAGTAATAAGGACTCCAGCCGCCAGCCACCTACTCCATTCACATACCCCAAGACCAGAAAAAACAACTTTGTGGTAGAACTCATAATACCAAACATTAGTTTACTAAATTTCCTGCTGGCCACCTAATATCAATGAACAGGACAGGATTGGCAATGTAGCTACGGATGGAATGATGCATGTTTAGAGCAAAGAAAATTGTCTAGGTGTGTAACACTCAAATTAGGATCCAGTGACCTGCCCATAAACTTTCAGTGCCATGATAAGTAAACAATTTAGAACAGGAGTTAGAAATCTTGGAGTAATTTGAGATCACTACAATATGTGTGTGCATGATCAATGAATTTGCCTTGGAAGAATATAGATTATATTTTGGGTGACAATGAACTCAATGTTTTGAGGCGCATGCTGAATAACATGACTACAAGTTATGGATTATAGTATCATGTTCTGGTGTGAAACATATTAGGGAAAAACACTGGTCCTTTACCACAAAGACTTGAAAAGCACTGCACTATATTCTTTGTTTTATTATCAACTTCAAATAGTTATGCAAGAGAATTTCAATTTAATATGTCCATTCACATGTACAATGCATCTTGAACAGAGTCACTCCTTCCATCATTCTCTCCCCTTTGCTACCCATTCCTTCCCCACCAGAAGAAACTATGGAACATCCCACTAAAGGAAAGAAAAGGGGAAGAGAGGCTTAGGCAAGGCTCAAACCAAAGCAGTCTATACTTAAATACATCAATATCAAGCCTCAACTATGAAGAAGACCGGGGTCCTGATTTCTTGAAAACATCAATATTAGCTGAGGAAAGAGTGTGTCCAGAAACCCCTTATCTGAAGTTCTATCCATGAGTTGTAAATAGAAGCTGCTTCTCGTGCCACAGTGACTTAGATCTTGCTGGTAACAGTGAGATGTTTCATCTGTCTCATACAATTTCAACAGCAAAGTTTCTGATGGCTTGTAATTTAAAGAAGTTTCTCACTGAGTAAGAAAACAGTTGTCATCCCCAAAAGGAAGTGCTGATACCTCACTACTGCAACCTGTTTTTAGGATAAATTCCTTTTCATTTTAAAACTAGCTTTACTGTATTTTCATTCTGGCCAAATACTTAACAGTCTAAGCTAATTTTTTTATTTTTCATTTCACAACAAGCCAGCCAGCAGACTCTGCAAAGACCTAAGAACAATTCCAGATTTGTTTATATCCTGGATGAAGGCAATTACCTATAATCTTAGATACTCAGGAAGCTGAGATCTGAGGATCCCAGTAGGAAGCCAGCCAGAGCAGACAAATCTGAGACTCCTTTCTCTAAGTAATCACCAAACAGCCCAAAGCAGAGGTGTGGCACAAGTGTTAGATTAGTAGTCTTGAGTGAAAGAATCAAGTGAGAGCATGAGATCCTAAGTTTAATCAGTAATGGCATTAAAAAAAAAAAAACCTGCTCTGCTGGGCACCAGATGTATAAATGCTCTTTGATTTATGGAGAATTAAGTTTAACAATGAAAGATTGTTTAAAGTTATAGGTAATAGCTCACAGATGATGGTTTATTTATATTGATAAAAACAGTGATGGGTTATAACTATAAATCTATATAGCTTATAAGCTCTCTTTAAAAAAGGGGGGGGGGGAAGGTAGCCACAGGGAGCCTCATTTCTTACCGACAACACCAAATGCTGACACAGCTCGGAATAACCCAGAGGATCCTTTCTGTCCCATTTTTGTTCTATTTCCCAGATCTAAGCGGCCAAGAAGTTCCCGTACTTCTTGCTGAGTATATACATGCTAAAAATAAGCACAAGTAATCTATAAGGTTATGTCGATTATTATTTACCCCTAAAAATTAAAAGCTGCCTGTAAGAACCCCTATTTCTTACACTACATAATGTATGACTAAGCTGTCATTTAGAAAGCCAATTTAAGCTGATAATTGGCTCATATTACTATACTAAAAAAAAAATGTGATCAAAACCTTATACTCTGAGCCAGGTATTCAGAGACTTAAAATTATATGGATATGTATGTATTTTTGTGAGAGTATTCATAGCTCTTAGCTTCTCAAAGACTCCCTCATTGGTCGATTCCATTCCCAAATAAAGCCAAGAATCATTATAAATTCATAGGTAAGTGGAGGAATGGACTCCCAGGAGTAATGCAGGAAATCACAATAAAAAATTTATTCAAAATTAAGCTGGGCGACAGTGGTTCACACCTGTAAGCCTAGCTACTCAGGAGTCTGAGATCTGAGGATCATGGTTCAATGCCAGCCCAGGCAGGAAAGTCCGTGAGACATCTTATCTCCAACCACTCAGAAACAGAAGTGGCACAGTGGTAGAGCACTACACTAGCCTTGAGCTGAAGAGCTGAGGGACAGTGCCTTGGTCTAGAGTTCAAGCCCCACAACCAAAAAAAAAAAATTAATCAAAATTATTACCACACAGAAAATAGTTTTGCAAAGGGTCTAATGAAAATGAGTTCCAAACTTATTTTCCTGCTTAAAAACCAGGAATCTACATGAACTAATATTCACAGACAAGAAATTTTTAATATGTACAGTAAGACATAATCCCGCATTTGAAAAGAGCCAAAATTAACTACTGATTACCAATTTGTTATATTTCACTTTTGACTATTTCATGTTTTGTGCTACCTGAATTAAGCTTCTCTATTCCTGACTCTGAATTAAATATTATCTTAGTAAGAATCATTTCTCAATTTCAAGTGAATAGGAAGTCAGCAGAAGTGGTCATAGAGGTGATTTTTGGCAGTATAATAAAGCATCTTTAGCATAGAAGTCTTCCTGGACTTTAAGTAACTTTATATTGAAGCATACTAATAGATATTATCTTCCATGGATGCAACATTAAGTTGTACCGAGTGCTCAAAACATCAACTATTTAAGAAGATATATTCATAAATTATCTAAGATGTGTGCTTTCCAAAACAATCAATCTGAAAGACAAAGTATAATTATGGCATATACCTTGATACCAGTAATTTCTAGAAAACAGAATAGAGACAAATTCTAGTCAGAAAAACAGTTGTAACTTTTAGATTCATGATTTAAAAGAAAAATACATTGCTAAAGCTATAAAGATATTTCATGACCTTTAAACAATAAACATGGAAGTTTTTGTTTGTAGTCAGGTTTGGGAAGATACTTACCCTATCATCAATTATAACCAAATCTTTTGGTTCTGTTCTATCAATTTTCAAGACACGATATTTCGTTTCTGCATGATTGCTCCCAACTAGAAAATACCTCTATAAATAAAAAGAAATGTTGTTAGATTTTTGAGGCATTTTGTCCTCTGTTTATATTATAGCCATTTCAGATTTTAAAAGTACATTACCAAGTCAGGTTACCTTTTAAAAAACATTTCTGTTAACATTTCGGGAATAGAAGAATTTTTTAAAGAAAGGTATTCTTAGCAGATTAAAGACTGATTCTGCAAGGTGAGTTTTTAGTTTCTCTATTGAGGTGAACATGACAAAACTTACGTGTATTCAAGGTGTACAAAGTGATGGTTTAAGAGATCTAACATATCCATTATCACAAAGTTAATGTCTGTGTGTGTGTGTGTGTGTGTGTGTGTATGGTAAAGACATTTACACTCTTAATAAATTTCAAGTAAACAATGAAGTACAAAACATTGTATCAGTGCTATACATTAGATTCCTGTAAGTTTTTTTATCTTCTAAATGAAAATTTATACCATAGGACCAAGAGCTTCCAAATTCTCTCCCAATCCCCATCCCTTTAGCAACTACCATTCTACTCGTGCTTTTATGAGTCCAACTTGCCAAACGGGTAATTTTAAAACTGAAATATTCTTAGTGGCTTCATGATAAGAATCAGTGTGATGTCTGAAAAGTGCCAGTAACTGGGTCCGATGAATTTAATTATACCACAGAGAAATTAATCTAACTGATTGATTGGAGACTGATGTTTAAGCTTTGCCAGGAAGCAGCAGCTCTGGTAAGAATTAGAAAGCTCAGCATGTAATTAGGAAGCTTAGACAATTATTGCTATTCAAATATTGATATTTTGTCAAATAAACCTTGAAAATGACTTTAATAGAGCAACTACAAAAATTCACCCCACAATCCTACAAAAGATTTAAATGGTTGTACCTTCTCAAATGGCCTTTTATATAAAAGCTACAGGAAATAATTGGTATTCTGTCTTTCTTGAAACATTTCCTTGAAGCATTGTACCAGATTACAGTAACATTAGTCTTAAATGAATACTGAGAATTATATGGATAATAAAAACATGGAGAAAAATAACCACATACTTAAGGGAAAATTTTTTCTATCTCATTCAGAAAAACTAAATGAGATAGTGTGTGTGTGTGTGTGTGTGTGTGTGTGTGTGTGTGTGTGTGTGTTGACGCTGGAATCAAATCCAGAGTTTCATACATACTAAGCATGTGCTAGTGTGTGTGTGTGTGTGTGTGTGTGTGTGTGTGTGTGTGTGTATGTTGACGCTGGAATCAAATCCAGAGTCTCACACATACTAAGCATGTGCTAGACCACCAAGCCATATTCCCAGTTCTGGGTGAATTATTTTAAAATTACTTTTAAGGAAGTAATTTTAAAAATCCATTAACAAAAATAAATTATATAAATACATTTTGCTTCAAATATGTCCTCTAAAAAGGACGTGATATTTGAACATTGCTAACACTGAGAAGATGCTGCCACAATCCACTGGTGTTTTACCATCTCAGTGGTCCTGTAAGATAGAAATATACAAAGTAACTAAATATCAAGAAAAATTAAATAATAATAATGCATACAATTTAATCTATATCAGCATCCAAACTGAAGAATGTACAACATAGGAAAAATGAGGGAAGGAAAGATTTATGTGGATTAATAGATAAAGAAAATAACAGAGTGGAGACTAGAAATGAACTTTCAAGAATGGATATGATTTTTAGATTTGACAGCATTTCAGAATACTAACACCTGATTGCACGGTTTTTTACCTCTAAATCTACAGAAATAAATGGAATTTTTATTGTTGCTAACTACACTATATATATATAACATTTTAGCCAAGGAAGGACCATGTATATGATTGAGATCCCACCAGATGATATCAATTAGCTATCTTAGTTTGTGCAAGCAAGTATACTTCATGATGTTCAGGAAATGATGAAATCATTGATGCATTCCAGTATGTGTCCCTGTTGTTAAGCAACTCATGACTTACGTTTATACAGGTCTTATGAAGAGCAAAAGCATATGTTAACAGATGATTAGCCCTTTCCCAAGACTAAGCAAAACACTCAATCCCACACCTCCTAAAAGAAACAGGATCTAGAGAACGCTGCCAGTTACAATGAGTTAGAAAAAAAGCAATTATAATAAAAAAAATAAAAACTAAGTTGGGACATCCAGTAAATGGACTCATTTTACTGAGGGAGCAGTAGAAGGACAGGAAGGACAGAGAAGGAAGAAGTCAAGAAAGCTCCATCATACCTTAGCTCATTCCTGTCCCTGAGACCCATCCTACCACTGAGAGAGAGCGATAACTTGGAATAAATTCATACTTGCTGGCAGAAAAAGGAGCTACTAAACCAGGTCCTAGTGATTCAATCTCTTAATCCTATCTACATGGGAGACAGAATGGGAAGAATGCCAGCTCAGGCAGAAAACTAAGTAAGACCCCCCTTTTTCCAACCCATTGCTGGGAGTCTGAGACTGGGAGGACCACAATGACAGGCCAGCCATCACTGAAAAGTCCACCTACAGGGAAGCTAAGCTCCACAAGGAGGCCCACGCCTGTGATCCCAACAATGACAGGAAGCCTATGGTAAGTGGACTGTGTAGCTCAGGCAGGTGTGCAGGTGGGAAGTAAGGCCCTATCCTTAAACTAACCAGTGAATGAGAGGGCTAGAAGTGTGGAGCAATGATAACACACGCGGCTAGCAAGTACACGGCTCTGAGTTTAAACTCTTACTACCATCACACAGAGAGGAAGAAAGCTACTTTATGAGCTGTATAGAGGCTTGAAGATAAACAGCTTCTAGGAGAGCAAGTACTAAGAGAAAGATCTAAAAGGAAAGAAGCTTGCTATGTTTGTTAAAAAAAAAAATTACATGAGAAAATGCTTACAAAACACCTAACAGTGAGTAGGAACTCAATAGAAAGAAGGTACACAATGGATATTTCTTTTTCTCATTTATTTCTGAGGATGTCAGAGAGCCACTGTATTTTTTTGGGGGGAGGGGGATTTAAAAAGAGTATATTCCAAAGGGAGGAACACATATGCAGGACCAAAACAGAAACAGAATAGGGGAAATGAATGCACCAACCTGTTAGTCACAGGGGAGACAAGCATGCGGATTAACAACCACGAATCATGTGCTATAAAGACATTTGAACTGGATACAAAGAGAACACAGGAAAAGCACTTAACTCCTTGGGTCAGGTCAGAGCAAGCTATCAAGAGAGGCTGGTATTATCCTGACGCTTAGCCTTGAAGTCCTGTACACAGAACTTTGTATACTGAGCAAAGACAGCATAAGCAAAGCCTCCAAGTATTTCTACCTGAAATAATCCTCATTCATCACTTGTGTGCCTCTCAGCCCAAAGCACTTTTGTTTATATCTGGCTCTACTTCTTACCAAAGCCCATTTCTTTGAAGCTGGCCTTCTCCCTTCATCTTATTTTACATATCTCAAGAGCCTGGGGCTAACTCTCTAATAACTTCCACTTTAAATTTAAATTTTTAAGTCTACTGGTTAAATTTAAAGTTAAGAACTTTAAATTTCTAAGTCTACTGATACAGTCTATCTCTCTAGGCACTGGGTAAGTGTTAGGAGAAGAACAGCCACCTATACAGTGTAATCCTTTAATATACTGGGTACATTTCTGTAACTACACCTAACTTACATATAACACATCTGGTTAAAGATACAGAATGATGAAACTGAGTCAACTCAATAAGAAGGCATATAACAGTAATTCCCAAATGAAGTTAGAAGTTTTATAGTCCTAGGAAATCTAAAGGTTAACTGTAATAAGATCATGATTTGACAGTTTGCTCTAAGAAAAAAAGATATGGATCCTGACTTGCTAGGGGATATTATTGGCCTTTGGAACATATGTATAGTGGAAGATCTTCACTCCAATATTCAGATCCTTCCAGAGTCCATGAGTTAGAGAGAGGAGCCAAAAGCTAAAAACCCACAGAATTTAAAAGCAGATCTGAGTGGGGAGAAAAAAAATGGGAAGCAGTATAACTATCTACATACACTCCTTCTAAAACTGTCTAAATAGTCCAAAGACCCTAAAAATGTTTTGTACAAAGAATAGCGACCTCATGTGGAGCCAGTACTGCAGCTTTTCAGTAGACTGGCTGTGGACAACAGAATTACTGTCTGCACTGCCCTCTGGCGGCCATTAAAAATCTACTTCCACACCTTTCTAAAATTTTTTTCTAGAGAGGCCTTATTTATTCTACTGGGCTTTATTTCCTCCTCATTAAATATACCAACACTGTAATTATGTACAACTTAGACTTTGTTACATTTAATAGTATGCTTTAAAACTGACCTCAGCTTATAGCAGCTTAAAAATTTCTCTGAGATACCTTTTCATGAAATTTTTCTCCATTGATTTTTTTCCAATTTTTTATTTTGAAAAAAATTCAAACCTAGTGAGACAATAAAACAGTACAATGTATATCCACATACTGTTCCTCTATAGTCATTAAATTTGGATATTTTGATGCATTTCTTTTCTTCCTGCCTTCCTCCTCATAAAACTTTTTTCTTCTGACCCATTTGAAATGAATGAAGATATCTTAACACATTACCCCCTAGAAACCTCAACTGCATTTCTAAAAGTAAGAATGACCCCAATATTCATAATACCACTGATACAATAATGACATACAATTCATGTTCAAATTTCCCCCTTGTCCATACAATATCCACTGTAACTAGGTTTTTAAAACAAGAATCGAACTGAGGTTCCGGTACTGCATTTGGCTACCATGTCATTTTTCATACCTTTTAATCTAGAATAGTCCCCTCCTTAACCTTGGTTTTCTGTTGATGTCTTGCATTCACTTGAGCATTTACTAGTGAAGGCCTCCTAAGGGTCAAGCACTAGGCTAGCGACATGGGGAGGAAAGGTAAACTAGAAGATGTATTTTGGCACTATCATTTGATGGGTTGGGTCAGAAAAGGGAATCATAAATTTAATTACTTTTGTTTGAGCAATAAGTGGAGCCACTTAGCAACAGA